ACATTAATTTTAAGGTGCAAAGACCCCACTTCAATGCTTGATATGATTTCTCTGCCTGCCTCCCCCTCCCCATTTTGGGGGGAGAGAGGGGAGGTGGGTTTTTTTGTTTGTTTGTTTTGGGGTTTGGGGCTCTTTTGTATGGCAAATATGTCTGAATATACAGTATTTTGTTCCAGCTTTTGTTTTCAACAGTCTTGTTTAACTGGTTTTATCTGTTAATGTGCTCTGTATATGTTTATGTACATAATCTCATTTCAACTCTCTGAAGAGGCTGATCCACAATTCTGTGAACTAAAGAGCACGTTATATTAACATGTTTGTTAATGTTTCATATTCAGCTTAAATCATTATTTTGTGACCTTCACCCAGTTCTGTTACCATGGGTTAAATTTATATAAACTTAGTTAAAATGATTGCCAAAACTTTACCAACATCCCCAAATAGTAAATCTAGCGATGTATAGGATTTATGAATAGATACCAACAGGAGTCATTAATTGATGTAGTCCTTAAAACACCTTTTTTTAACTCACACTCTTTATGTACAGTGTCATTAGAAATAAGTCATGTGTGGACTGAAGGATATGGATCCACAGCGCAATCTGTACATGTGAGTTCTCCCTGTCTGGCTTTTTTCCTCATTTGTACTTACTAGCCCTGTAGTATTCCAGTTATCCTTCTGCTTTCATCCTCATCATTCTAACCCACTCTAATTCAATGCTTTTGCAAACAGCTTTCAACTCCTTTTTTTGAATGTGTGAGCCAGTCACTGAAGTTTAAACGAAAGCTGTGCCTTCTTGCTCATGTAGACAGAATCAAAGAGAATAGGATTACCGCTGGCCGTTAGCAAATACCATCTGTTGTACAGTTTAAACTGTCTATGCTGTTGCCGCTTTCAGTTTTAGCCTATGAAGTGCAATAATTGGCATTAAAAATTTATCAACATACATAGTAATTTCTCTGTAATTTCAGTGCAATTTCATATCTTCTACTGGCATGTTTTATTAGGGGAATTTTATGCAGAATATAGCGGGCCAGCTCTAATGACAGAGTGGTAAATTTAACGTATGGTCTCCACGTGAGTAATACTGCCTTCTAGTTGCTTGGGGCTGGTTAAGTACACTGCCTGTGTGATAGAGTTCCATAGTCAAAGGATGCAACAATCTATTTCTACTTCAGCAGTGTCCATGTATGATTCGATAGCTGCTGGCCTGAACCTCATGTTAACTGTCCAATATATGGATAGGGATCTTTCTTCACCGTGTTCTTGCCTAATAGTGTCTCTACAATTTCTGTCAGAACTGCATTTCAGTTCTTGTTTCCTGTGCATATCCTTTCTAATGATACCTAGGCTCTTTTCTATCATGTTCACCTGTCTTCCCAAGAGAAGACCTAGAGGGGAGGTAGGGAAGAGGCATGGAGTTTTTTGATACCCTAACTTTGTGGCAATATGCTACAGGGTATGGCATATATTGCCAAGAGCTATTATAATCCAGAAGGTTCATTTATGCCAGTGAAGAGCTCTGCATCCCATTCTCATTACACTGGATATAAATGAATATAGGCTTTTTTTCTATCTAAACCCAGCTGTGTAATTTGACTCTTTTGGAGAAGTGATGCTATGTATGCATTTTCTACTCAAAGAACATGTAAATTGTATTTGTGTGGTTTGACTTTGTATAAATTTTACCATCAAATTGAAGATACTCGTGTATTATTTTTTCTAATATCATCCCGAATGATATCCTGAAGGTGATCTCCATGCCTCATGTGTGTAAGGTAAACTGATAGCATAGATATTCCTGTGTTTCTTTTCAGTCTTATCTGAAACAAGTTAAAGATGTTGAAACAATATCGTACAGTGAAACGTGCACTGTGAAGAAAATTTTTCCTACTCTCCCCAGAAGATATGTACGAAAAATGCCCACTCTCCAACTACAGTACATTAAAGGTCCGCATATACTAAGAGAATTTTCTTGCTATCTTGAAAAAGTGTGTGTGAGTGTATATATTTATTATTGGTTTTTTTAAGACACACCCCTTTCCAGTGAAAGGAATTTTGTACTTAAGATGCTAGAGAATTTGTTTGGGAAGTTTGTTCATGTGAAGGTTGTAACCCTTGTAATGATGCCAGGGTCATTGGAGACCTGTGGAGATCTGCTGGTTAAGTGCTCGTCACTCAGGCAGCTGGAACTCTAGGCAGGTTTTACTTATATACCCAATTTAATTCCAGTATTTTAAATCAGGTTAATAAAGATTATACTTGCAACTTGCCCTTTATACTTCTCTACCTTTTATATATAATCACCTAACATCTTGTTAACTTACTGAAATACATAGTGAAAAAGGAGAGAGAATACCAGTTTAGATTAATTTTAATGGCTGGAACAGTATCCTAAGATACATACAGCAAAAGGCAGACTGGAGCAGATCTCTAGATACGACTGCATCGGTGTAGGTTGAACTTAATTTTGAACCTGTTAGGTTAAATACATATATATATGTGTCTATGTGTGTATTTACATATGTAGATACGTGGTTTTGTTTGGTTGTTTGCTTCTGCGTGTGTATACATCTAAGTAAATAATGCTTCCTGTGTTGGGAAAGTAGAGCAAACCATGGTAGATGAGGTAGTGGCATCTTCAGGTACAGTGTGGGTCTGCTGCAGTCCTTTCTTACTGTGCAGCTCTGTGTAGGCGGTTGGATGAAAAAGAACAGACAAATCAACATTCCTTTCCCTGAACTCCCCAGCATGCCTCAGCTGCTTTCACTCAGCTCTAGAAAGGAAAAATGAGACAAAAAGGAGCCACTGGTGGAGTGGTTGCTAATTAGTGAAACTTTGCTGTATGCAAAAAGCAAAAATTAAAGGAATATATAAATAATGCTGTTGAAATTTCAGTATGTGAGAACTTAAAGCATCAACAGAGATTTATTTCAGAGCTTTTAACTAGTCACGTACTTAGAAGAACAAGTTTTTTCAGTATTTTCAAAAGACCAAAACTTGCCAGCCTACTTATGCTGCCAGTTTTTGTATAATAAGTTCATTGACCCTGTAGACAGTCTGAGTGTTTTCTGAGTTACCGCTTTATCAAACTAATTTGCATGATTTTAAAGCTGTTGCTTGCTAGAAAACAATCTAGTGAGGGCGCACCTTGTAAACACCCTTTTATATAACTTTGCTTATTCCTTTTGGGAGTGGAGAGGGGAAAATCAGGAGCTGCAATCAAAAACAGTGTAACTGAAAAGTGATTTTCGTGCTTTCATGAAATATTTCACAAAATAGTTTCTTACCAAACTACTGTGTAGAATTTCTTTTGTTTTCAGCCACATAAACAAAATTTCACATGCAAAAATGTTATGCTTCAGTAATTAATGTGTAACTACGTGTTGTCACCAGATAATGTAGAGGCCCAAGGTGTAAATGGATTAAAAAGGATAAGATAAATTAATAGATGATACATTTATGGAGGAAAAACAGTGAGAGCTGGGAGTGTGCAAAAGGGAAAGGCTCGCCTTTTTGTCCATAAACGTCAGCTATAGCCACTGGAGGGAATACTGGTCTAGGTTGACTGATACGTCTGTTCTCGTGTTCTTACTATTGTTTAAGGTCTTAATGTAGAAGGCAGTGGGCTTATATGTGAGAACCAGGTCTTTGTACAGAATATTGCTTCGTGTCAGACCCTAAGTGCCCAAGAGCAAGAACCACAAATTATATCTCAGATTATGTTATTCAGAGGTGATTCTGACTGACAAGTCAATGAAGAGCAAAGATTAAATCCTTCCAGCTCTTTACTCCACAGAATTAAATGTTTACAAGGTCATACCTGGTCTGTGTTATAGTATAACAATATAGATAGTATAACAATATATACATATATTTCCACTCATGGTTTCCACAATAAATAGTAGGGTGTTTTAGAGAGGGTGGGTGATGAGACTAAGGTGATGATTAGCTCTGTAAAGCTACATGCTGCAGCCAGTTACCCTGCCAAAAAAAAAAAAAAAAATCTATCACCACATGTGATAAATTGTGATGAGTAGTTTATTATAATTTGTCTTTGTGCTGTATATTGATTTGAGTTTCTGAAAAAAATACAAAGTATATCTTTGAATACAAGTTGAACTCAGTACTAAACTCCTTCCATCCTCAGGCAGTAAATGAAAACCATGCAGAACATCTATTGCGTAAGTACAGCCCCACGTGTGGGATGTATGATATGCAGGTAGAGCTGCACCAATACCACTGTAAAGTACTTCCAGTCTCTATTGCTTGTTCATACCTGCTTACCATCTGCTCTTCTGTGCTGACGTGGTGCTTTGTGGGACCATGTTTTGAATAGATTTGGGCTTTTTGCCAGTAACCTCCCTCTCCTTTTTTTTTTTTTTTTTTCCCTTCGGTGTCAAGATCTCTTTACATCTGTGTGTGCGTATACTACAGTTGATCCTGGTCCTTAAGTTGATTGACTGTAGTCCCACAAATAGTTGCATGGATGTAGAGTGTTGTATATGTTAGTGCTTGGAATAGGCAGTGGGGCGAGACTGCCTAAATTTTGCATTGTCGTGGAATGTTCTTCCTTATGTGAATGTTCTTCAATATGTACTTCCTTAAAGGTCCATATGGCTTTTGATGTCTGTTAAGTTTTTTTAAATTACTTGGTATTACCTAACAATGGGATTTGATAATGAAAATATTTCAGGATAGTAAAGAGGAAGATGTTATCATTGAAAATATGTCTTGGCAGGCATGAGACTGTTCAGGTGTTGTATGTTACTTTAGCATGTAGGTATACCTGAGAAAAAAAAAATACTCCTTGTGTGTTCTCCCACAGTAATATGAATAATAAAAATACGTTTGTAATGCATACAGACTTTAATTCTTTGTTGACATTTTAATGTTATATCCTAGCTACATTTCCTAGCTATATTTGCTGTGGTGCCATATTAAACATCTGTTGGAAAACAGCATTTTTTTTTTAACATTACATAATTTGTTTTGACTAGAGTGCTGCTGTCCTTGCCAGTGAAAGAAACGCCGCACAAGAGGTGCAAAATAGTATAGAAAATCAAGTCAAAGAGCTGACTGAGGAAAATGAACGATTGAAGACAACAGTTAATGACCTAGAGAGTAAAACTGAAGAGTTGCACAAGCAAATTGATAATATGAAAGAAGAAGAAAAATCAGTGAAGAAAAAAATAAAGAGATACGAGGTAAGTTAAGAAAACAAGCCCCTTAAGTAGTCTCCTTCCTGTTTGCAAAGGATACATTATAGAACAAAAACAGACAAAGAGGAGGATGGGCAGTGTCATTAGGAAGGCTGAGCAAAACCAGCAGATTTTCAAGAAGCAGTATGCGGTTTACTGACATGTATAGGAAAGATTTCCCCAGTGTAGAAGCCAGTGGAACTGGGGAGATCAGTGACAGGCCAGAGTAAACATACTTTATAGCTCAGTTTACTTGTTAGGTTAAAGGCCTTGCCATTATTTCTAAATGTATCAAATCATACCATTGCAGGAAGAGAAGCAACAATTAGAAGAAGCTTTGAAACATGCTGAAAAACAGGCAAAAGAATTGGCAGCGTTAAAAAGGTCTTTGGAAAGCCAACTAGAAGATATGCAGGTAAGAACAAGAGCAATTTGAAATATTTACATTTTAATTTTCCTGTTAGTTTACCTGAGTCACTATTGCTTTCTGCAGAGTAGCATCTCATTCTTTTTGAAGTACACTTTGTTTTAAAGTCCAGACCTCACTGCAATGTTCAAATGCTTCCTGAAAGCATAGCATCATCTAATTAAAATTGTTCTCTTGCTAAAGTCTTTTTATTAGATCACTGGATCTAGCAAAATTTCAGGGAGATGAATTACAAAATAAAATGCCTAAGGTTTTATAAATCTATTTTATTATTCTGAATAATCATTCAAGTCTTGTTGTGTGTAGGTATTGACATGTAAAAGAATAAAAACCTGTACTTGGATATAAATAAAAATATTGGTAGTAGACAAATATCAGGAAATTGGCTTCTGTCTTTAATTTTTACGAACCTGTCTTGTTTGCAAATGTGTGATGGAACTAGTATATTTCATCACAAAACCAGAGAAATTTAACATCTATCACTAGAATTTGCAGCGTCTTAAAGTCTGTATAAAGTCCTCATTTCACCTTGCTCCTTACTCTACTCAGTATCCAGGAAAGGATATGCTTTCTCCAAGATTAGCCCAGAAATGAATCATGTGGAGAATGCATCTACTTCAGAGCAGTGGAGAGGGATGTTGGCAGTATCGTGTGTGAGTAAAGATGGAATGAAAATTCAGATCTGTTTAGTGACGAGATGAATGCGTATAAATCTTAAAACTCTTTTTATTGACATCATATTCTGTATCTGAAAAAGTGGCAAACCTAATCTTTTCTCTTTGTAATTCACCTTTTACACGTACCGAAGAAGTATCTATTTCTACAGTATCGGATAGTTTAGAATTCTCTTAGTTTTGCTTCTAAAAGCAAAGTTTTTAAGTGATTCTATCAAACAAGTGAGACTCAAAAATGAGGTACGTGTACATTGCTAGCAACCCTTTTTAAATTTTTTTTTATGTTTTCCCTTTTTGTCTTCAACACAAATTTTACATTACTGTTCTGAAAATCTGAAAATGAAACTTGTCTATAAGTGGATTACAAGCCAAGGGAAGATTGTATTAACCAGAATGTTCTCATGGTTTAGTTAATTAAAAGGGAAAAAAAAATAATGACAACAACAAAATATTACTATGTCTTTAATATTGAATGTACTTCAAGAATATAAGGTTTTAACGGTATGGCTAAGCAAGTTTGTTTCTACAAAATGATGTTTTTAAGCTGATGTTCCTTGTAACTACATCAGTAAGTGTTTCACCTGAGGCTTTTGGTCCATTGGGGTTTTTCTTTTTAAATCTGGTTATCTGTTCTACATCAGTGATTCTCCAAATTTGCTTGTATGTATTGCTAATAGTCTGTGCAGTCACAAAAGATGGCCCATTGCTCATAACTGGCTTGCATTTAGCACTGTTCTCTAAGAACTCCCTTCTATCACAGTCTGGCTTGACCTTTCTGCACAACATGAATCAACACTCCATATGCATCTCTTGCATCTTGATTAGCTTTGGGTCAAGATGCTTGAAAAGTGTGTTCTTTCTTTTCTGTTTGCATGTCCTTCTGGCATCATGCCAAGTAATGCTGTGTCCAGACTGGGTCTCCAAATTAATCTAGGAAAGATCACAGATAGAAGAATCTATCTTGTCATTTTATTCACAACTTATGTCTAATTTCTGGCACATCAAGTTTAAACCTCTTTCTGATTCTACAGTCTTCTTGTCCACCGGATGCGAGCACTAATGGACTTCAGGATGTAATCAGTGGTCCCTTTTGTTTAGAACAATTCAGCCTTTCTGTGTTTAGATTCTTACTTATTTTGATGAACAGTGTTGTGCTGATTTGGCCTTGCATTACCTTTGACAATTTAGACTACAAACTTTGGCACAGTAATAATGTTTATCACAGTAGAAACTGTGATAAACTGATGGGCCTGACTGGCCTATTTTGCTTTTTACATAATACAAATGACTTTTAATGGTAGATTCGCGTAAGAAAGTCAATGACAATACGAATAGAATTGTAACATCTTTACTGTAAACATAGTGTGGTGGGTTGACCCTGGCTGAAGGCCAGGTGCCCACCAGAGTTGCTCTGTCACTCCCCTCCTGCATTAGACAGGGGAGAA